CTGGGAATCAAACTCAAGACCTTGTACTTGTGAGGTAGGTGCAGTGCCACTGAGCTAAATCCACGGCCCTGAGAAGGTACTACTTTTTGATGCTCTTCAAAATTTTGTCAGCTTTAGGCTGTCAAAGTTGCAGCTGAAATCTGTTACCTTAGGGGATTTTATATGCCTGGCTGCCCTGTATTGAACTGCGCAGGTCTAGGGAATACAGTATTACCTCACCTCACACAGGAAATGGTGATGTGCACAAGTTTTAGTTGGTGCACTTTTGACACTGAACCATGTCAGATTAACTCTAATAGGTCAGCATCATTTTCTTATCAAATTAAGGCTATGTGGTTAAACGGGACCTTTTTTTTTCTTACAAAAACAATTGGGAATCCATAGCATATCTGACATAACTGGTTCTGCTCTTGCCCGTGGGTTTACTGCCTTGCAGGCTACAATTTTCTCTGTTTCAGTTATAATTTTAACTTCCCAGTGTACTGCATTGTGCCTGCGGGTTGCTCTTGTGTGCTGATTGACATCCAGAAATTCTTAACATAATAGAAATAAAAAGGACTTTTTTCTGAGGTTTTTTTTTTTTTTTTTAAAGTTTTAGTTTTTTTCTTTACTGTCAGTATGTCTTCGAAGGTCTCTGTTTTCTCATTTTTAAATCTTTCTTGTGCTTTTTCTTCTAAATGGGAAAGCATTAAAGTACTTATCTTTCGTTGTTATTTTGGCTAAAAGTGAGTTTCATATAATTAATGAGTACTGAGTTAATCTCAGTATTTTTCTCTCTCTTCCGCACCCCAAATCTGTTAACCTTCAGGACCCCTCAGATGTGCTCTGTTACAGAGTCCTTCCTGTCTCCTTAGTGCTGCACTCAATGTCTGTCTCCAGGACTCTGCAGAGCACTGTCCCAGCTGGAGTGCTATGACCCCAGAAGTAGTTTGGAGGGTGGGACCATGTTACTGTGTGGGCAGCTTGACCCACTGTCATTTTGCATTAACATCTAATAACAAAGCTTGTGTTAGTAAGGCTGTGTGTCGGCCTTTTAAAGTATGTTTTTAAATAAAATATAAGCATCTTAAATTGCAAAATGGGTTTTTTTGTTTGTTTGTTTGTTTGTTTTTGCTTTATTAAATTCTTTTATTGG